AATACTGACATTTGGTTGAAATATATTGTTTGATAGTATTAAGGAATTTTGCAAAAAAAAATAATTTTACAATCTGAAACTAAACTCTTTTAAAAAATGAACTTTCAATGAATATGATTAAAAATAATCATTTCCTAAAGTCTTCTCAATCTTTATCGAAGAACTTATTTTGGACTCTGATATTACAATTTTCTGAATTCTAAAATCCCTATAAGATTTAACTCTTTTTTGTAATGAATGAAATTAATTAATTTATCAGGTTAATAACTTTTAGATTATAGGACTGGCTTATTTAAATAAATAACATCCTTAAATTAATTCTAGAAACAATTTCAAATCTTTTGGTTAAAGTTTACAAAAAATTAAATATTGTGGTAAATTCTCTATATAATATTATATATTTTAATAGATGTTTAGTTAAAATTAAAATAATTGATTTTGTATCTTGGCTTAGATGACGATAAATTTCAACCTATCAGAAAAGCTAAAAGAGAAGAAAAATTAATTAATCCATTTTTTATTACTTGTTAGAAAGCTTATAACAGAGTTGTTAATATAAAGTAGTTTCTAAACTTCTCATGATTCCTAAAAATCAAAGATGATTTATAAGGAGAAACTTTGTAATAGAAAGAGGTTGATTTATTGATGGTAATTTGTTAAAGAGAAAAATCAACTTTTTTTAGGAGAATTCGTTAGGAATTCTTATTTACCCTAATTTTATCAGATTTCTTCAAAATGAATAAATATTTAATTGATGTTTTTATTAAGAAATAAATCCTTAATTTATTAAAAAAGAGGGATTGTGTTATACAAATATTAGTCTTTAGAAAAATAAGTCTTAAAAATCACTAGGGTATAGGAATCTCGCTTAATATTGGGGGAAAAATTGAAGCACATTACTAGTAAATAAAACAGTTTATTAGTAGAAATAATTAATTAATTGTTAAGGTCCAGCAATATGAATAAATTTGTTAAATGAATATTACCAATACGTATTTTAAATTATGCTGATGGAGGTTATTTGGTGTACTTTTATGCAAGCTAAAAAAGTAAAATTTCAAATTTAAATATTATTAAATTTGATTATGTTATTAAAAAATAAGTTCATGTCATAATTATTAAACTAATTAAAACATTATATCTGTAAATTCTTATCCCAATTATGGATTGATGGTTAAGTTCATACGTAAGAATTTAATTGCCTATACATATTGATTCATTTATAGTAGGCATTCAGCTTTGAATAATTAATAAAAATATACATTTGGTATGTAAAGAATCTATAGATTCGGGATTGATAGCCAATACTTTTTCATACAATTTAATTGCCTGTTCATATAGACCCATTAAATGTAAGCATATTCCTTTCTATAATTAATTTAAATATACCTTTATTTTACAAAGAATCAACAGATTATGGATTGATAGCCAAATCCTTGTCCAACCATTCAATTGCCTAATCATATTAACCCATTTTCAATAAGCACACACCTTTGAATAATTAATATTAAATATGCCTTTGTTCTGTAAACAATCAACTGATTACGGATTGATAGCCAATGCTTTGTCATACCATTCAATTGCTTATTCATATTGACCAATTTAATGTAGGCATAGACCTTTAAATAATTAATTTAAATAAACCTTTGTTATGTAAAGAATCTAAAAATTAAGGATTGATGGCTAATTCTTTGTCCAACCATTCAATTGCTTATTCGTATTGACTCATTTTCATTAAGCATATACCTTTAAATAATTAATTTAATTATACCTTTGTTATGTAAAGAATCAATATATTTTGGATTTATCTCCAATACTTTATCATACCATTCTATTGCCTATTCATATTGACCCATAAAATGTAAGCATATACCTTTCAATAATTAATTTAAATATACCTTTGTTTTGTAAACAATCGACAGATTAGGGATTGATAGCCAATTCTTTGTCCAACCATTCAATTGCCTATTAGTATTAACCCATTTTTAATAAGCATAAACCTTTAAATAAATATTCTAAATATACTTTTGATATGTAAAGAACCTATAGATTGCGGATTGAAGACCAATTCTTTGTCTAACCATTCAATTGCCTATTCAAATTAACCCATTAAATGTAGGCATACACCTTTAAATAATTTATTCATTTGTACCTTTGTCCTACAAAGAATAGAAAAACTATGGATTTATTGCCAAAGCTTTATCAAACCATCCAATTGCCTATTCAAATTAACCCATTTTCAATAAGCAAACCCCTTTAAACAATTGATTTAAGCATACCTCTATTATGTAAACAATCAACAGATTACGGATTAATAGCCAATTCTTTATCTAAGCATTTAATTGCCTATTCATATTAACCCATTTTCAATAAGCATAAACCTTTAAATAATTATTCTAAATATACCTTTGTTATGTAAAGAATCTATAGATTGTGGATTGATAGCCAATTCTTTGTCAAACTATTCTATTGCCTATTCGTATTAACCCATTAAATGTAGGCAAATACCTCGAAATAATTGATTTAAGTATACCTTTGTTATTTAAAGAATCTATAGATTATGGATTTATGATCAATGCTTTGTCATACCATTCAATTGCTTATTCATATTGACCCATTTAATGTAAGCATACACCTTTTAAATAACTAATTTAAACATACCTTTGTTTTGCAAAGAATCTACTATTTACGAATTGATTGCCAATACTTTGTCAAACCATTCGATTGCTAATTCATATTAACCCATTTACAATAGAAATGTACCTTTAAATAACTAATTTAAATATACCTTTCTAATGTAAATCAACTAATTCAAATGATTATTTTTCCACAAATTATTTTTTTTGAAGTTGTTCAATATCTAAATTTTATATCTATTATTAATCAAATTCAAAATTCGTATTTTAGAATTATTGCTTTGTTTTTATGACATCTTAGTTGCTTGAAATCATTTTTAATTATTTTATAGAAAAAGAATTATTAAAAATTTTTTTTTACATTTCAAACTTCAAGATTAATCAGAAATGCAGTACAAATACATATTATTAACAATTATACTTCTAATTATAGTAATAAAGGTTTAAAACAAATAATTGTTGTTTTAAGAATTTTTATTTATAAATTTGAAAAAACTTAATAGCAAATTTATTATTATTATCAATAAAATTTTGTAATTAATAACTTTAAATGTTTATAATTTTCAAATCCGGGTGTAATATTCAAATATTTCTTCTAAAAAAGTATCCATTAAAAAAAATGCCTGAAAAGAAACACAAGATTCAATTTTTCTTTATAATTTTGGCTATTAATCTATAAATAATGATTCTTGCAATGATTGTAATTGGATCTACAACACCTTTCAATACTATAGCATTCCCCAAAAATATTACTACAACTATATAATATTACAATTGCATTTTTATTCTAAAATAAAAAATATATATTTCATTATGTTAAAAATATATATGATAAGACCTGGAGTTTTAAATAATATGATAAGAAGTAATAGGTTAATAAAAGCAGTATTCATTTTGAATCTATTAATTGCTTCAATTAACTTATAAAAAAATTAAATCAAAATTAAAAAAAAGGGTTTATAATTATAAATAAATAAATGAAAAGAATTTAAATTTTTAATAAATAACTTGACAAGATTGTTATGATTAATTACAAATTGAATTAAGCGGATACTTATAAAAGTCTATAACTAATACGTATATGTCTGTCTCTATAATAAAATAAATGGCTTAATGAAATTATAAAAATAAATTTTCAAATTAACCTTCTTATTTTTCCTTGAAAATTTTTTAATCTCAAATATATATATAAGAATATTTTTATCTAAATTGCTTGATCGAATCGAACTACATTATTTAGCATCACACCTTTCGTATTCTATTTTAAACCTCAATAAAGTTAAAAAAAATAAATCTTCATCAATCTA